GCTCATGGAGGTATTGTAGCTCCCCAGGTGAGCGCCAGAGGTCAATGCTGACCTCTGGTGCTGCCCACGAAAGGCGGCGGCGGGCACCCATCAGGGCGCCGCACAGGGCAGGAGTCAGTCGCAGGTGGCATTCGCTGCGCCCGTCCCCACGCACCCGAATCTCAACGCAGGTCACAGGCACACAGTCAGGCACTGGCAGGTGAAGGCTGGCCCGGCAAAACAAAACGAAGGCTGCGACTGCGGCCCCCAGGCCCCCACCGGCCTCCAGAGCGAGCCCCTTGACCACGATATGGGGGAAATCGGGCCGCAGGGATGCCCGGGAGGCCGGGTTGCTGATCGGCTGCTGGCTGCGCTGCCCAAGGCTGGCTCCCTCGCTGCTTGACATGCTGATGGGTGGGTGGGTGAGTGTGGAGGGTGGGGGTGTGGGGGTGATCGGCGCGAGGCCGGCGCGATGGCTCTCTGTGAGCGGACGGGTGGGCTACTGTTGGCTATAATAGGCTATAATAGGCTATAATAGGCTATGTATAATGGCTCGAACTCATCTGCCTCTGGATGCAATTCAAACAGGGCAAAACCTGCGCGGAGCCCCAATCAGCAGCGGCTGCCCAATCAGCAGCAGCTTATCTTTCTCTCTCTTGCCCACCTGCCCACACTAATTGTGCGCCTGGCTGTCGCAGCCGGCAACAGGACGAGCACGGCGGCTACCAAGCACACCACCGTGCGCCTGACCGGCGCAGCCATGGCAAGCCTGCAGCTGAGATATAAAGAGCCAAATGTGAGCACTGGGGTGCGGCGGCGGTAAGGGGATGCAACCAGTACATGGGCGGCGTCTGCCGGCGGGACGGGGCAGCTGCGGTGGGAGCTGGGGCCCCGGGCCGGCCCCGCTGTGTGGCATGGCGCAGGCTGCAGCAGGCCATCCCAAGGCGCGGAGACAGCGCAGGCGGTAGCAGCGAGGCCGCGGCCCGGCTACACCTCCTGTCATGCTCGCAACGCAGACCTGCTCAACTCCAGCGAACTCTTCGACTTGACTGGCTTGCCTCCTCTCCTTCAAAGAACTAGCCGGGCTAGGACGACCAGCAGCAATGGGGCTGCTGCCCTCCGTCCTTCACCGCCAGCCCGGTGGCACAGATAAGGTGAAATCCTGTGAATTGCACACCAACTTGTTCCTTTGGTGCACGATCGTGGGGGTGGTACTTGCCGGACGTGGCAAAGCCCCCTTTCACATGGGGCCATGGGGGATTGCCTCATCTTGCGGCGGTGCTGCATCCTGTCACGAACTGTGCACAACTGACCCGCAGGAGCGGCGCGAGCGGTCTGCACGTGGCGGGCGGCAGCCACCAGCGCCCGCGGCTACAGGGCGCTGGCAGCTGGGTGGCGGCCAGCAGCGGAAAACTCGATTCACTGATATGGCATGCCAAGATCCACCAATGTCATGAAAATGAGGGTACTGACTGAAAGGGAACAAAAGGCAGGCAGGAGTTGGGCTGGAGAAAGCAGGCGGTGATGGCAAGCGTCCGACGTTGTCAAGTGCGGCGGGCGTTACAGCTGAGGAAGGGGTAGGTTTACTTACAGTCTTCCTCAGCATGCACCTGTGTCAATCCCAGTTCTCCTGGATGCCAGGCGCCAGGGCTTCGCGCAACCCCGCCTGCTCGGCCTGCGATCCCGCCAGCGGCGGCGCCGCCTGCCGTTCCTCCCCACAACCGGGTGCCGGCTTGAGCCACAGCTTGGCCACCACGTGGGTCGGGCTGCCGCTGGTCTGGCTGCGCCGGCTGCTGACGAGGATGGGGACATGGGCCAGCATGCACAGCGTGAGCGGCAACTCCACAGGCGAGATGGCGCCGGGGTTGCGCAGCGCCGGGAGGTTGGGGATGTCTGCGGCACGCACGCCAGGGTGTGGTGAGCAGGCTGAGCAGCAGGACTGGCATCTCCCAAACGTTGAGGGGCGGGGGATATGTTCCCGCAGCACATTGTCGCGAGGGTGGTGGGAACAGACATCGGCTTCACCCTGTTGTAGCCACCCTGCCCGCCCCGTCCCTTGCCCACCTGAATAATCAGGCTCATCCTGCTCGCCGCGCTGCTGCTGGTTTGAGGCCGCGTGTCGCAGCTCCAGCACCCTGTGCAACGCAAAGCAGGCGAAACCGAACGGCTGACTGTCGAGACAGTGCAGGAGCAGCACCAGCACCAGCAACCCCCGGTGCTGCAGCAGACCCTCAACACAGCACCAGGCGCATGCCCCTCGCTCACTTGTCGGCGGGCTGCCAGGCGGAAACGATGGCTCCGTCGCCGCCACGCAGCAAGGAGCCGGTGTGGATGCGCACATCGCAGCCCAGGGCAGGAATGTAGGCATCAAAGAAGCGGGAGCCTCCCAGCTGCATCACCACTGTGCCAAGGAAGAGATGGCATCGGCACAAGGACGGGTCAAAGGGAGGGAGGGCTTTCCCCAGGCAGAGGGGCGAACCGGACCAAAGGGGACATTGCCAAGGCTGGCACAGAATCAAAGCTGGGCTGCGCTGCGGGGCTGAGCTGTCTAAATGCAAATGAACAAGCAAGCAGGCTGGCGGCACCGCACTGCTGCTGTGCAGAGGCCACACCTGCGTCGCACACCAGGGGCTGGCGGTACAGCATGACGCAGAGGTACAGCCGCAGGCTGCCATCCTGAAGGCAGCGGAGCAGACGCAGTCGCAGCAAGCGGCATCAAGCCGGCTGGAGGGGCTGGCCGGGGTGCAGCCCAGCCCGGGTGCCAGGCAGAACTCCTTCCAAGCCCAGGCAGTGCTGCCACCCCACATACCACAACCAGGCCCCTGCAATCCAGACCCACCATGGCCCAACCCACCTGCACACTCTTGGCTGCCATCTTGCGATCATTGGCATGCGCCGCAATCGCCCCCACCTCACGTGTAGGGTACAGCCTGCAGTCGAGTTGCCAGCAGCAGCAGGCATGCGGCGGGGCTCATTCCGTCAGCCGATGGCACCTGCTCGCAGCAGCGGCAACAGCGCTGCGCCACAACCTGTGGCGTGGGCGGCCTCCCCGCTTCCAGCACAGCCTGCCCCACGCTTTCACCCTGCCCCAGCCCAGGCGCCCCACACACCCGTGCCGTGCCATGCGCTGCTCCTTGCTGCCCTGCCGATCCAGCAGCGCCGCCATCAGGCGGTGCACAATGATGTCTGGGTAGCGGCTGCGCGGGCAGCGGGGGCGGTGGGCAGGGGCTGGAGGGCAGGCGGGACCAGCGACAGGAGAGCAGAGGGGGCCGCCGTCGCTGGTGCCTCATCACAAGGCGGCAGCGCACCGGATGGGGGAGGTGAAGTGCGTATAGTGTGTGACGGCCAGGGCAAAGTGGCGCCAGAAGGACTCGTCGGGCGTCTCGCCGGTGCAGAAGTAGCGGGCGTTCTGCATGGGCTTGGTCGCCAGCAGCGTGATGACTTCCAGGGCTGCGGGGTCGGTGGCTGCGGACTCGCGCAGCGCGCTCAGCGACTGCTGCAGCGAGCCTGCGGGGAAGGGCGGAGGTGGAGGCGGAGGCGGAGGCAGCGCGCGGGGCGTGTAGCAACGTTAGCCTTGGTGCAGCGCGCAGTTGCGTTGCGGGGCGTGCAGACTCACACAAGAGTCGAGGAGGCTGTAAGCCAAACCATGCAGAGGAGCTGAGTCTTCCCTGTCCACCCACCCGCCCCCGAGGTGTCCAGATGGAAGCCCAGCTCCGCCGCCGTGCCCGACAGCTCCGCCATCTTGTGTGTGTTGGGGGGGGGGTGGCAGCGCAGCAGCGACCTGCGTTTGGGGGTGTCAGGGGCATGTGCCGCGGCGACGCAGCGTCAGGCGCAGATCGGACAAAAGACAGACAGGCAGAACGACGCCACGCCCTGCACAAGACCGCGGCATGGACGCAGCCCGCACACAACCCCGCCGCCGCCCACACGCCCACCTGTCTGGGAAGGCTTCCGCCACCATGCGCGCTGTGGTCATGTTGGCAAGCAGCATAAACTCCTCCACCAGCTGGTTGGCCTCGCGCTGCGGCAGTGGTGCAGGGGCGGGGAACGACGATGTGATGGTGGCTGCAGCGCGTGCCCTGTATAGTTGGAGAGGGCGAGGTGCAGGTGGTCGTAGCATCCGTGTATCAGCAGCTGCGCAAGAACATAAATTAAAGACAAAAAGGCACAAGACATGGGCACAGCAACAAGGCAGGTGCCCGCCTGCTCATAGACGCCATAGTCCTGCGGGTTGCCCTCGCCATCCAGCTTGAAGTACAGGCGGGTGTTGTCCAGCCTGCGACACAGGCGGTACAAGTGCAGCACGCCTGTGACGACAAGACAACAAGGGGCCCCGGAGCAGGGCCTGAATTGGCAGCACAGCCAGCATCTGGGCGCCGCCGGCCCGCTGCCAAGGCCCCACCTCAGCGCCCCGCTGTCAAACCGCCGCTTGCGCAGGCGGCTGGCGATGCGGTGCAGGGTCAGGCTGTCCTTCACAACCTGCACACCCATGCGGCCAGGCCGGGGGGAGGTTGTCTGTCCAGCCAGCGCCGCCGGCAAAGCACAAAAAGGCCGGCAGCAGGTTGTCTGCCCCGCCACACTGGGGTCACAACGCGTTGGACGGAGGGAAGCAACAGGAGGGCATGAGCCGAGCGGTGCAGTGCTCAACACAGGCATCACGCCGGCGAACTCACGTCTGGCCAGCTGTGCCCTCCAGCCAGCTCACACGGCGGCTCCTGCCCCTCCAGCGCTGCAGGCGGGCGGGCGACCGAGCATCGGTTGGGGAGGCACGCGGGTTGGCCGTCGCCTGCAGACGCGCCGGCAATCCGCACCTCAGCTCACCAGCCCACCCACCCACTCGTGGCCCTGCCCACCCAGGAACTGCCCCTCAATCATGCTCTGCACGTGTGGGTAGGCCAGCTTGCCGCAGGAGCGGATCACGGTGCGTCCCGCCCAAGTGGACCTGCATGGGGCGACGGCAGCACACGGCCATGCAGGCAGGGAGCAGTTGTGCAAACATGCGGGTGGGATGGAGGTGAGCCTGGGCCAGGTGATGGTGGGTCCCGGCCCGGCAGCCCTGGTGCCAGCCGGCGGCAAACGCTGGCCAGCAAAGCGGCAGCATGCTGCGCCTGCTGTGGCTGATGGGCCGGCGAGGGGCTGCCGCGGCAAGTCGATGGGCTGCTGGCGTGCTGGCTGGTGTGCTGGCTGGCTCACAGGATGTCTCCTTCAGGGCTGAGATCCCACACCACGCTGAACGCCAGACGGTCCACACCAGGGTTCAAACTGCAGGCAGGCGTGTGTGGTGGCGGTGCATACATGCATGTATGTTGGGAGCGGACAGGGCAGTGCTGCAGCCAGGGTGGCTTCCCAGGGCAGCAGCTGCCCACGGTCACCACCAGAACAGGCGTGAAAGGCAGGGGTGGGACGCGGCGGCCGATATCGAACTGCTTGCCTGCACAGCTCCTCACACAATAAGCGGGGCAGCATGGGAATGACTCTATCCACCAAGTACACTGGAGCAGGCGCCGGTGGGAAGGGGAGGCAGTGCAGGAGCAGAAATGGGCAGGCATTAAGAGCTGGGATGGTGAATGCACTAGGAAAAAGTAAGAAAGACCTGTTCCCACCCGCAAAATTCTGGGCAGCCGGTGGCAGGCCATGCGGCTGCTGGGGCTGGCGGAAGAGGCACAGGCACAACCACGGCAGCCAAGGAGCGCCGGGGGGTAATCCACCGGAGCCCAGCGCAAGCCTTCCCCCGTCACAGCCACCCCCCCCAGCCCGGCAGGCGCCCAGGCCTCCCCCCCCAATGCACACACACACACACAACACCAACACCCACACACTTGAGGGGTGCGGCTCTGCGGCCTCTCGGTCCGCCGTTGACCAGGGTTTCACAAATTGGGACACTCCGGAAATGTGCACCCCCACACGGTAGCCGGCCCATTCAGGCACCTCTCCACCGCAGGGCCAGGGGTGCAGCGGCAGGGGTCCGGCGCACAGAACGGCCAGGCAGGGACCAGTGGAGACCAGCTACCCGGCGCCCCAGCGAGCGCCGCAGGTGCAAGGTGCAACCTCGCTCGCCGCATCCGCACGAGCAGAGCTCGGCTGCGTGGCTGGGCGCCGAGCCGCCGCCTAGCGGCAGCGCCGACGACGCGGCGGCGGCAGGCGGGCTCCCAGGGGGCAGCCGCACCAGAGAGTGCATCATCCAGGTCCCTGGCGGTGGGAGGATCGATGCTGAACACTCGGTGGCGGCGCAAGTCGCGGCGCGCCGCCACCTCCTCCTCGCTGATGCTCCAGGGTGTGGGGGGCAAGCAGGCCAGCACCTGCATGGCACAGGGCCGCAGCCGGCCAAGCGCGTCTGGCCTCTGCCCGCCCGCCAGTTGCCCAACCACAGCCGCCGCCGCCGCGTCGCCCACTTGCCCATCCACTGCCGCCCACCACCCACACGCACTCTGTCCCACCCCACCCACCCACTCTGCCTCCACACCACCACCACCAACTCACACCCACGCCGCCACCGCCGCCACCAACTCGCAACCACATCCACACACACGCGCACAGCACACCCACAACCCGGGCTGGACAGCACACACACACAATCCTGGTTGGACAGCGGCAGCTCAGCACACCTCTGGAGTGAACTGGTCGTCGTCCTGCACCTGCTCCATAGACAGCAGCGCCGCCGTCTCGCTGGCAAGGTCGCCAGCCTGCCCCAGGCTGGCACGCACCTGCACCGCGGCGGCGCGCGTGGGGCGGGAAGGCGGGGCGCTCAGCCGGCAGCGGGTGAGCGGCGCAGGGAAGCTTGGCGGTATGAGGGAAGAGGGCGGTGCGCAGGCGGCAGCGGCGGTGCGAAGCCCCGGCGCCGCTGATTCCCGCAGCAGCCTCCCTTGCCGCCGGAGATGCGCCCACCCCGCCGCCGATGCACCCTTGCCTGCGCCAGCGGGAAGGGGAAGCCGGGATCCCAGGCCGCCAGCCGTGCGCTGACCAGCGTGCGCGCCGACAGCGCCAGCGCCTGCGCCTCAGTCTTCAGCATCTGTGCCAGGCGGGGCAGCAGGGCGGCTCGCCGGCGGTCGGAGGCAGGGCGGCTGGCGCACGGCCCTAGAGTGGCCGTATCCTGAAGTGCTGCCATGGCAAATTGCTGGGTTGCCCGTAAGCAGCGCACGTCACGCGTGTTGGCTGAGCGCATCAAAAGCAGCACTGCACCCCCCTTCCGCTCACCTGCTTGATCTGTGGCGGCAGCGTGGCGGAGCGCACCATCATGCGGGGCAGGCGGGGGTCGCATGGGAACAGGAAGAAAGTGCCGGTGTCCTTCTCCCCCTCCTGCTTCATCACGCCTGCAATTGGGATGGGTGGCGGACAGTTCAAACGGTCTCCACGAGAGGCGCATGCTGGGAGGCAGATAAGGGGAGTGGATAAGGCAGGGAGCAGGACAGAGGGGTATGAAGGAGCGCCAGAGACGTGGCAGGGCAGCACCTCAGCAAGCCCAGCAAGGCCGCTGGCACGCACCCACAACCGACTCGCGGCGGCGCGAGGGCTCCAGCACAGCCACCACCTCGCCGGTGACGCGCCACCCCTGCGCCATCACCGGCAAACACACAGCAGGCAGGGCAGCGGAGTTTGGGCAGCGGGCAGGGCACAGCAGGCACCAGGCTAGTGTTCTGCCCGCCGCTCAAGCAACAGAAAGGAGGCTAGCAGCGCCAGCAGACCCCGGACAGGAGCACTGCTCCACCATCACCCTCCTTCACCCACCTCCATCTGCCGCAGCTGCCCCGCAATGAACTCCAGCGCCGCCACCGGCTGCCCCGCTGCTGAGTGCCAGCAGGCGAGGCGCGGGTCGCCGCCGCCGCTCAGAGGCGTGGCAGCGGCAGGAGCGGGCGCTGCGGGCAGGGCACCGCCTCGCCCTGCTCCTGCTGGGCCCGCCAGCGGGGCTGGCTGGATCTGGTGCTGCCGCACTTCCTTCACTAGAAAGTCAGCCATCGACTCTGCCTCCTCCTCCACCTCCTCCTCCACCACCTCCCCTGCTCCTACTGCCTCCTGCGCGGGGGCTGCTGCCCGAGCCACTCCAGCGCCCGCCTTGGGCTCAGCTGAGGAGGCCGGACCGGCGCCCTCGCCGGCTATCAGCCCTGCTATGTCGGCATCCAAGTGCAGGCCCTGCAGCATCAGCCAGAACCGGCGCTGGCTGGGTCCGTCGGCGCGTAACGCTGGCGCCGGGAGTGGCTGGCTGGGGCAGCCGGCAGGCGCACGCCGCGCACACGGTGCCTTGCAGCTGCCCCCGCCCAGCCCACCCACCATCACATCTTCCTCCACTGTTGCCAGCATCGCCTCCTGCTCCTCCTCAGCCATCCCGCCCTCGCTGCTCACCGAGCCTGCAGCAGGAGGGCGAGAGGGGCAGACACGCGGGTGGCGGCAGGAGCTCAGCGGGCAGCAGAAGCTCGGCCATCGCCCTGCGGCACAAGCCCATGGCGACAGCCAGCGCCCGCCCCAGCACACTCGCTGGCTTGGCCACCTGCCTCGGCCTGCCGCGCCCCACCTGTGCCCTCGCTGCCCTCCTCCTCGCTCTCCGCAGCCGCAAGCGCTGGGTCCTGGGCCCCGCTGCTCAGCGGGGTTGGGCCCATCGCGACGCCCAGCTCTCCGCCGCTAGCTGCGGCAGCAGGGTGGCGGCAGGGTTTACCCGGGTGCAGAGCAAGGCACCTCAGCAACCACCTGCCTGCCTGACCCTGCCGATGAAGCCCCCTGCCTGCCTGCCTGCCTGACCCCCCCCCTTCACCTGAGGGCAGCAGAGCAGGAGATGCCACCAGGTCGCCCATCGGCCGCCGCTGCCCCGAGCCAGCCCAGGCGGGAGGCGTCATGGCGGCAGGGCCCGCCGCCACGGCCGCCGCCAGCGGCGTGGGCGGCGGCGCGCCGGCCGCCGCGCCCGCCGCCAGCCGCGACGGCAGCGGGAGCACATTGCCGTGGGCCGCTGCCGGCGCTGCCGCTGCTGCCGCGGGCGACTGGGGGGAGGTGGCGCCGGCGCCTGGCGGCCGCGCCGCAGCTGCCGCTTTGCTGCTGGACAGCTGGTACCATTCTGAGGGGGGCAGGATGCGGATGGCCACTTCATCCCCCTCCACCGCCCTGTTTTGCAGCTTGAGGCCCTGCACAGGCACAGCAGCGGCAGCAGGAAGCTCAGGACCGCCGCTGGCTCCCGCTGCGAGCCTTTTCCAGCCCTGCTCTTCCTCTCCCATCCAGCTGCCACAGCTCCCCCTCCAGTTCCCTCCCAACACCTCACTCGCCCACCCCAAGTCATCCCCACCCCAAGCCGCCGCTCACCCGAATGAACACGTCAGTGGGGATGCCCGGCAGCGAGCAGTAGCCCTGGGTGCGGTCTGACGGGTTGCAGCGAAAGGTGGCGCGGAACAGAGAGCCGCTCTTGAGCCCTTGCTGCAGCAGGCTGCTGGGCAGGTGGTCTGCGTAGTAGGTGCTGCGCCGCCCGCTGGGCTTGCGCGCGCCGGCTGTGCCGCCGGCCTCGCTGTTGACGCCGCTGCTGCCCCCAAACCGCGACGGGGTGGCAAAGGAGCCGTTCACGCTGCCGGGCGTGCCGGGCCCGCTGCCGCCGCTGTACCGCTGCTGGTGGCGGGACACGGTGGTGGGCGTCGATGCCGACGCCCCGGGCTGGCCGCGCCCGCCGCTGCCCCTCGTGCTGCTGCCGCCGGCAATGCCAGGCGGTGGCGGCGGCGGCGGCGTATACCCTGCAAAAGGGGGAGCGGCGTAGCCATAGGCATAGCCGCGGCGATAGAGCAAGGCTGTATTGGCTGGTGGCTGCGGCGTGTGTGGCGGCGGCGGCGTGAAGCCTGCAGGCGCGCGGCGGCCATGGCCGCTGCCAGCATGACTGGCTGGCGGCGGCGCCTGCGGCGGCGTGAAGGCTGGCGTGCGGCGGCGGGCATAGCTGCCGTCAGGGCTGCCATACGCAGCGCCATCATGGCCAGGCGGCAGCGGCTGCGGCGGCGTGAAGGCTGGCGTGCGGCGGCGGCCATAGCTGCCATCAGGGCTGCCTGATGGCTGCTGCGGCGGCAGCGGCAGCGGCAGCGGCATGGAGGCCCCTGCAGGGCTGCCTGATGGCTGCTGCGGCGGCAGCGGCAGCGGCAGTGGCATGAATACCCCTGCAGGGCTGCCATCGCTGTGGCCTGCAGTCCCGCCGCCAGGCGAGGCAGCGGCGCTGCCGTGCCAGTTGTGCTTACCACCGCGGCCTGCATGTGGCTGTGGCGTGCCTTGGGCTGCAAAGTATGGGGCGCCGTGTGGGGGCGCAGGATGCCGCTGGCCCGGTGTGCTGCTGCCGCTGCCTTTGGGCTTGCTTCGCCAGTAGGGGCGCTTCTGGCTGCTGCCACCATCGTCGTCAGGTGTGCCCTGGCCTGCCTGCTGCTGCTGCTGCTGCTGCTGCCTGCGGTTGCCACCGCCGGTGTTGACACCGCCGCGCGGCGCTCTGCCGAGGCCGGGCGGGGGAGGCGGGGGAGGCTGCATCGCACTCCGAAGCCTTGGATGCGCGCCTACGTCCCGTCTGCGCGCAGACCAGAAGGAGCAGAAGGGTGTTGGGCAGGGTTCCTCGAAACAGCCTGGACAGGGCAGCCTGGGCGTCGCGGACAGGTTTCGACGGTGTACAGATGTCCGAGAGGGATGCTGGCCCAGCCCGCTGGTCCACTGCTGCCACCCAGCAGCACGTTAACTGATCGAAGCGCTTCGATGGCAGCTGGCGCACCTCTACAGTCAGTCCGATCAACAGAGATGGTGCATGTGGCGGCGACTGGAGAGCATACAAGCGCGCCAGCCCCAGACTTGGCAGTGCCAGGTACGGCCGCTGTCCCGCCCCCGCCTTTGTGCGGCCGCCCGGCCCGCAGCACATGCACCTTCCTGCTGAAGTAGATGTGGCTGCTGCTGCATTACATTACGGCAACTACAGCTGCTTCCATCACGCCCGCCCAGAGCGGAAAACTTGGATGCACAAGCCTCACAGCCAGCTGCCGCCGCCGCCTCGGCCGTGCGCTGGCCAGCCGACCGCCGCAGGGCCTCGTCTCGCCCCCACGCCCGCCTAGCGCCGGCATGTGATGACAGCGACAGCCACATGCGCGCAGTCGTGCCTTGTGTTGTATGTACCAAGCAAGGAAAGGGATCAGAAGGTGATTGTGATCTCCTTCTTGGCCATGTCATATACCATGTCCAGCGCCTCGGTCAGAGCCACCTGGGCGGGGCAGGGGGGGCATGCTGAGCACCAGGTAAAGTGTAGTGGAAAGCGTGGCAGGCGGGCGGCTCGCCGCCCAATCAGAGCCCAGCGCTCACGAGTCCTTGCCCGCTCCCGAAGCACAGCAAGCCGCCCCAAATGCAACCTGTTAACGTAGCCAGTCCCCCCCCCCAACCCCCCCACCCTCCCCTCCCCCCCCCCCCCGCAAGCCCCCCACCTGCCCAAACTTGGTGATGTAGTTGGCATTGATCTTGAACTCCTTGGGGGCGCCCTCAGGGTTGGCCTTGAGCGCCTGCAAAAGAGGGGGGCCGCGGGGTGGGCGGGCAGGAGCGGGTGGGCGGGCAGGAGCGGGCGTACGCACGCCTTCCGCGGCCCGGCGCGCCGCCGCCCCGCGGCATGTCGCCAGCCCCGGCGCCAAGCGCATGCGAGTGCGGCAGCAGCAGCTGCGGCGGCCACCTGCGCCAGGGCACAGGCCCCCTCATCCTTGATCTCGTTGTACCCCAGCTCCAGCTCGCGCAGCGCGTCGTTGGTGTGCTCCTTGAAGCCTCGGGAGAACCAGATGGCGCCTGCAGGGGGCCAGCCCCATGGCCGCCATTGGTGGGGGAGGCCGGGCAGGGCGCGACGGCGCGGCGCGGCATCCCGCCTTGTGCAGGTCGCGGTGACGCACGCTGGAGCGCAGCTGCATGGCACCCGAGGGGGCAGGGCCCCGCCCCCCAGCCCTACACGTCCCAGCCCTACACGTCCCAAGGCACGCCGGTGCGCGCCCCAGCCCGGCCCGCCACCCCCTCACCGCCACCCCCTCACCGTCGTTGCCCAGTCCGTTGCCGCGCAGGTCCAGGCGGCGGATTGTGTTGTTGTACATCAGCATGTCGGCCACGGCCTTGACACCATCCCCGCTGCCCACCTTGCACCAGCCCATGCCCAGCACCTCCAGCTGCAGCGAGGGAGGCAGGCGGGTGAGCAGGGAAAGCCGGCAGGGGCAGGCAGGCAGGGAGGCAGGCACGCGGGGTTGAGAGGCACACGGGGCACGGCCGCTCCTGCCCTCCGCAGCGCTGGCGCACCCAGGCACCACCCTCCCTGCTGTCCTGCCCAATGGTACCAGCCAGGAAAGAGACTGTACCGCCTCACCTTCATGTCGTACTTGATGATGTCGGCAAAGGCCTGCGCCCCCTCCGGCCCCATCGGGTTGTAGCTCAGCTCCAGGCTGCGCAGCTCCTCGTTGCCCTTGAGCGCGGCTGCAGGGAGGGGTGGGGGTGGGTTGAACTCGCGCCAGGCAGCGCGCCAGGAGCGGGGGGTGGAGAGGCAGGAGCAGGGGCCCGGAAGCGCACAGCTGGCAGGCAGGGGCGACGCGCAGCGGCCAGCCGCGGCGTTGCGCGGCCGGGCAGGTGCAAGCCCTACACCCAGCAGCAGCAGCAGCGGCGGCGTGCGTAAGACGAGTCTCACCCGCCAGCGCCTTGGCGCCGTCCTCGCCGATGTTGTTGCCGCCCACATCCAGCAGCTTGAGCGAGCGGTTGTCCTTGATGGCCGCCGCAATCTGCGACAGGCGGGGCGGAGGGGCAGGGAGGAGGCGTGGGGGCACGGCGTTGGGCGCGGCCCAAGCGCAGAGGGCTCATGCGAGGGGCCAGGTCAGCGCCGGCAGCTGGCATCGCCCCTCCTTCGCACGAGCACACATGCACAGCCCGAAAGCGAACGGCTGCGCCAGCTCAGCGTGCGCCAGCTCAGCCCGCTCGGCGCCTGGCGTGCGCCAGCTCAGCGTGCCCCCACCTGGAACGCGCCGTCGTTGCCCACGTCGTTCATGTTGATGTTGACGTCGGTGATGGTGGTGCAGCCGCGCAGCAGCTCTGCCAGCGCAAACGCCCCCTCCTTGCCCATGCTGTTGTTGCCAAAGTCGACCGCCTTGAGCTCTGCGGCAGGCGAGGGAGCAGGAGGAAAGGCAGCGGCGGTGTGCTGGCGGTGCAGGGTGTCTGTGGCTGTTGGATGATGGGAGCTGGGTTGGGTGGAGCGCACAGCAGCGGGCTCTAGAGCGGCGGTCCCAGCGCAGGCGCTAGCTTCAACACAGCCAGCAGGCCCCACCCTTGTGCTGCTTCAGCGCCTCGCACACCGACTTGATGCCCTCGTCGCCCAGCTCGTTGCCCTTGATGTACAGCTCCTGTACCGCAGGGCGTGTGGTGTGCGAGCGTGTGGTGTGGTGGGGCGTGGTGGGGCACAGCTCAGATGCAGGGAGGGCGGACCGGTGTGATGGGCCGGTGTCAGTCGAAGGGCCAGCAACCAGCAGCACGTTGCACCAGCGCCGCCCCCGCCCCCACCTGCAGCGTGTTGTTCTCCTTGAGCGCAGCCGCCAGCAGCGCGGCGCCGGGCGTCTGGATGTAGTTGTCGCTGCAGGTTTTGGGGGGTGGGGTTGGGAGGGGAGAGGCGTCATCAGGCGGAGCGGCGTCATCAGGCAGGCAGGCAGGCAGGGCGGCCAAGGCAGCAAGTTGGTGGAGAGGCGGGCGGGCAGGCAGATCGGCAGTGCCGGCCCATCCCAAGCCCCTGTGCTCCCTGTGCTCCGGCCGAACGAGAGCGCCAGGCCCCAGGCCCAGCGCCCAGGCCCCCACCTGAGGCCGAGCGTCTTGAGTGAGGTGTTTTGCGCGAGCGCCTCTGCCAGCGCGCCCACCCCCTCATAGTCAATCACGTTGCCGTTCAGCTCCAGCACCTCCAGCGTGGTGTTGGTCTGCGTGTGTGTGCGTGGGGGAGCAGATACGTGGGTGAGGGGGTGCGCGGGGACGGCGCGTGTGTACTGTGGGAGTGACTGTGGTGTGTCGGTGCGTGCCAGGGAAGGGAGATGAGAACCAGCCCCTCCCCACACACCTTGAGCATCTCGGCCAGCGCCTTGGCGCCCGCATCCCCGATGTTGTTGCCAGACAGGTTCAGGCTGGTGAGGCGGCTGCCGCCGGCCAGCGCCTGCGGGCAGGGAAGGAGGGAGTGTGTGGGGGCGGGGTGGGGGTGCAGCAGGGCATCAGGATGTGGACCGCGGCCAGGGAGCTGGGCACGCACATAGGCGCAAGTGATGGGCAAGCATCTCATCGAACGGCATGGCTGGCTGCTGGCACCGCGCCGCCGCCCTCCGCTGCCACGCCTGCTGCCGCCTCGGCGTGCCGCCGCCTGGGCCCCCACCCCCACCCTCTCACCGTGGCCAGCATGGCCGCCCCCTCATCCCCAAGCGTGTTTGTGTCCAGCAGCAGCGTCTTGAGCCCGCTGTTGCTGGTCAGCACCTGGCACAGCTGGGCGCAGCCCTGGGGGCCGATGCCGTTCTTGGAGAAGTCGGCGGCCACACACCTGCAGGGAGGGAGGTGCCCGGGGGGGAGGCATGTGTCAGGGGAGGGAGAGCGGGCAGGTGCAGGCGAGAGGGAGGGGAGCTCCCTCGGCGCCGCAGCCAGCCCCACGCGTCGCAACCCAACACTGCCGGGCAGCCCTTCCAGGCGCGCTTTCGCCAAGCACCGCCGCCACCACCACCACACACACCAACCACCACCACCACCACCACACGCACGCACACCCACCCACCCACACGCGCGCGCGCACACACACACACCAAGGCCAGCGCACCTGTCGTTGAACGACAGCGCGTCCACCACGTAGGCAAACCCCTCGTCCCCCAGGTTCTTGGCCGACAGGTCGGCGGTGGCCATGTTGCGCAGCACATCCATGAACTCGTTCAGCCGCTGCTGCGCCTCCTTGGCCAGCCCGCGGCTCTGGATGGACTGCGGGAGGGGAGGCGGAGGTGGAGGCGGGGAGACAAAGAGAGAGAGAGTGTGTGTGTGTGTGTGTGTGTGGTGGGAGCGGGAGTGGGAGGAGGGGGCACGGCGTTGAGAAGGGCAGCGGCATGATGGCTGCAGCGGGACGGCACGAGGGCGACCCTCGAGCACCAAGGCCAGCGGCGCTGGAGAGCCATGATGGCGTGCTCCTGCCGCGTGAGCATGCATGGGGTGGCTGCGGCGCAGCCGCGGGCACACGGCGCCACCTGCCTGCTGCACGCCCGCCACCGCCTCGGTCACCGCCTTGCTCTTGAAGAGGCGGTGGCCCAGGAAGCCGAGGCCGGCAAAGGCTGCCAGCGCCACCACGCCGCCCAGGCCCATGCGCCACGCCTGGCCCATATCCGGCTCTGCTGCTGCTGCTGTGGGCGCAGCCAGGGCCTGCCGTTGCTGCGACACGCCGCGCGAAGCCTGCGTGCTGCGCTGCGCCGCCTCGGCGGTGGTGCTGGAGGCTGCCGCCATGCTCGCCTCCGCCTCCCGCTCCTCCTCCGCCCGCGCTGACGTGGCTGCCTGCTGCTGCTGCTGCTGCTGCGCCTGCTGCTGCTCCTCCACCTCCTCCTCCTCGTCATCGGAGTCGCCCATGGCTCTGCAGGGCAGCAGCTGCTGTAGCCGCCACGGCTGCCACTGCAGGGTGGGCGGCACGGGCCGGCCAGCGGCGGGCGCGCCGAGGCGACGCGGCAGCGCCGCCGCCCTGTGCCGTCCAGCCACCTGGGCGCACCCCGCCAACCTAATTGATTGCATCGCTGCTAGTGCGTGCACTCGGCAGCGAGCTGACAGGGGCGAGGGAGAGTGCTGTCGGAGACGGGGGTGGGGTGATGAGGATATGCAGCGCTCACGAGCAGGTCTGCGGCTGTTGCAGTGCGCGATGCTGGTTCAGGATGGCGCGGTGCATGTGCACCGGTTGCTCATCTGCTCATCATGAAGATGGCTCCCTTTCTTCAGAGGCTGGCCGCCAAGCATGGGCGTTATATTCGATCAGTGGAGGGTGAATTGATGACATATGATGCTTGCAGCAAACCGTGAATGCCGACTTCTGTCGGCCGGACTTTTGCTGTGCCCAGGCTGCTGCTGACTCGCTCCTGCAATACAGCAAGCTACTAGCATGCTACGCATGTCGGCTGGGAGCGCTGCAGCGGCCCGGGTGGACTTTGCTGCCCCTGCCTTCAGCCCTCCTCGCACCCACCTTGTCGCTCTCCGTGCTCATGTGGATCAAGGAGCGGAGGCAGAGGCCGCCGGGGCTTGGTGGGGCACCACGCTGATGGTGTGACCTTTGCCCCGAGCGGGTAGCCGCCGGCGCCCGGGCAATGCGTCCCTCGACGAAGCCTCCCCTCCCTGCCACAGACCCTCCACCATGCGCTCCTGCGCTCCCATTCTGCTGAGCCGCGTCCTCAGCAGGCTGGCCCCACGCTGGTGCATGGCAAAGTTGCACCGCTCCGCCTCCTGAACACCGCCACCTGCTCCACCCCCCGTGCCATTGCCCGATCAGCCCACCGACTCCTGCGCCGCCGTCTCTTGGTACTGGCTCCTCAACTCCCATGCCCTCACATTCTGCTCCATGCCGCAAAGCTGGCCGCTGCCCGTCGGGGGAGTGGTGGGGAATGTAAGGCCTTGATAGCCAGCAATGCTGCACTGACAGATGGGCATGCATCAGCTGCCGCCCCATCGTGCATCGGCCTGCGCCTCTCCACACCTGGCGCCACGACGGCGCAGCTGGCCATGCTTTGCCTGTCTGGCGGGGCAATGCGGCGTTCCCAGCATTGGCGGCGCTGGGATGCCTACCCCAACCTTGTATCCGCCTATCCGCCCCTGCCCAGCCGATGCTCATCGTTCCACCACCGTCTGAACGACCACATATTGCCTTGCTGTTTATCAGAGGACATTGCTTCTGTCAATTGCTCCTTTTTGCTAGCCATCCAAATTGCTCCTACAACTTAAAGCCACCGTTCGTTCACTGAAAGTACACAGTCGGCGCGGTACGCGTGGCGCATTTGTACTGTGCCCCTGTTCTCGACCGCTATTCTCAGCTGCGTGTGCCTTGGGCGAGGCTGCACACACCTAGGGGACACACGAGCCTGCCAGTTTGCCGAAAACCCAAAACCTTTCACTTCCAAGGCTGCCCCCCAGCGCCTCTGCCATGCTAGCGGCTCTCTCCAGCCAGGCCGCCAGGGCGGCAGCAGCCCGAGGGCTGCCGGCAGCGGGCGCCGCGTGCCGCGCGGCAGACCTTCGGTGGCAGCAGCGCCACGGCCAGAACACCCAAGCTGTGGAGGGCGACACCTTGACTGTGGAGGTGCGCACCCCTTGCTTGCCGGCAGCGCCGCCAGCATCTGCATTTAATGGGGAGCGAAGAGTGTGCGGCAAGTCTTCGCCGTCCAACCAGCTCGGCTGCCCGCAGGTCAACCCGTACCGAACGCACCGCCTGGACCCGCCCCCCACCCGCGTCTCCGCCACCAAAGCCGAGCTGCTGCAGTACTTCAAAGGTGGGCGGGGTTTCGGGGGCCGCCTCCGCACCTGGGCTGCCAGTGACATCCACGTCTTTCCACGTGTGCCAGCGTGTGCCTGGCACCTTCCAACACCTGCTGAGCAATGGGCGCTCTGACGCCGCCCATCTGTTCTTGGTCCCAGCGCCCTCCATGCGGTCCTGTACCGCAGACATGTACCGCCTGCGCCGCATGGAGATCTCTGCAGACATGCTGTACAAGGCCAAGCAGATCCGCGGCTTCTGCCACCTGTGAGAGGCCTGGGGGTGGGGGCGGGGTGCTGAGCTAGCAAAATCATTGTGCCCTCTGAGGTCACAATGTGCGAAGGCGGTTGTGGCCGGGGAAGGTCGCAGGCAGCCCAGCGGATGACAGGGGCAGCGCCTGCCCACCTGCGCCCGCCCGCGCCGCCCGCAGGTACGACGGGCAGGAGGCGGTGGTGGTGGGCATGGAGGCGGCGCTGGAGCAGAGCGACTCTGTGATCACCTCGTACCGGGACCACGCGCATTTCGTGGGCAGGGGCGGCACCGTGCTGGAGGTGTTTGCGGAGCTGATGGGGCGGGTGGAGGGCGCCTCCAAGGCGAGCCAGGCGTGCGCCGACCCTCCTGCCCTGTGGCGGGGAAGAAGCGCGCCGGTTCATGATCTGACAGCGAGCAGCAGGCCTGCAGCTGGGAGGTGGTGGGGTGCAAGGGCTCGAGCGGCTGAGGCTGTGCCGCTGTGTACTGCAGGGCAAGGGCGGCTCCATGCACATGTACCGCCGCCAGGCCAACTTCTTCGGCGGCCAGGGCATCGTGGGCGCCCAGGCAGGCTGGGGCCGGGCTGCCCTGCCTCTTGCTGTGTCAGACAACAATTTGGGTTGTGTGTGTCTGCATACAGACCATGAGTGTCTCTGCCTACAAAGCACCGCCTGCCTGCTCAGGCAAGGTTGCTCGACCGCAGGTGCCGCTGGGAGCGGGGCTAGCTCTGGCGCACCAGTTCCGGGGCGATGGCGGCGTGGCGGTGACAATGTACGGAGACGGTGCCGCCCAGCAGGTGGGTTGCCCAGGCTGCCACCTTCAGCCTTTGCCGCGCCAGTGCGCTTTAGCTGCCACAAGCAAGCCTTGGTGGGAGCATGGCGACATCGATTCCGATCCCTGCGCCCGTACCGCCCGTACCGCAGGGCCAGATCTTCGAGTCATTCAACATGGCCGCCCTGTGGGACCTGCCCTGCATCTTTGTGTGCGAAAACAACCACTATGGTGGGTGGGCGGGGTAGGCAGGCCAGCGGCTGCCACAGCCCATTTGCCCTGCCTTCTAACCTGCCGCTGCTCAGCTGTGCAACCCTCCCTGGCATGCAGGCATGGGCACCGCCGAGTGGCGGGCTGCCAAGTCTCCCGCCTTCTACACACGTGGCGGCGACACCATGCCGGGCATGTCGGTGGGTCCGCCTGCCCGGCTGCCTGGGGCGTGCTGCCTGTACCAGTGCCGCACCGTGTCTCGCCATGCGTGCTGCCCGCCGCACCCACCACGCGCAGTGCGACGGCATGGATGTGCTGGCGGTGAAGCAGGCGTTTGCATTTGCCAAGCAGTACGTGCTGGAGAAGGGTGAGTGTACTGCTGCAGCAGCAGACGCGACCCCGATGCCACCCGCACTTGCGTCCCAGCTCCCTGCAGCTCCTGCACCACTCCCAGTCGCACCGGCGCCTGCCCAGGATGCCTGTGCCCACATGCTTTTCTGTACTGTATGTACCGCAGGCCCCCTCATCCTTGAGATGGACACCTACCGCTACCACGGACACAGCATGTCCGACCCGGGCAGCACCTACAGGTGGCGCTGCTGCCCAGGCGGCAGCTCACAGCATGGCATGCATCCACGGGCAACAGCCATGGGCGCGGTGACAGCACACACAATTCACAGCACATACTGGCAATGCACATCAGAGCTGAGAGTGTATGGTGCACATGCCTGTGGCGCAGGACTCGCGACGAGATCAGCGGCATTCGGGCAAAGCGGGACCCCATTGAGCGAGTCAGGTGCCAGGGAGGGTGCGGTCATGGGATGGGAGGGGAGAGAGCCTGGAGTTCTGAGGTGCCAGCGGTGCTGCCTGTCGCGGTCTATCCTGGCAGCAGCTGTCACAGCAGGTGTCATCCAGCCTCCACGGCCTGCAGGCAGCTGCTGGCTGCCAACGGGCTGGCAGAGTCGTCCGAGCTCAAGGCGATTGAGCGGGTGGGTGGGTGGCGGAGCACGACTGTCCTGTCCTCAACAATCAGAAGCATGCACACCAACTAACCGGGAGTTGTGCGCCATGTGTGTGCGTGTGTGTGTGCCCTGCCACCTGCCCTCTGATGGTGCAGGAGGTGAAGGGGGAGATCGATGGGGCCATCGACGATGCCAAGGCCGCGCGCCTGCCTGCCGATGAGGAGCTGTGGACCAACATCTGGCGGGGTAGGCCAAATGTTCCAGGATGCGCTAGGCCTTCCTGCCTGCAGCAAGCTGTGCGACATTGAGGGCATTGGCCCTGCTCTGCCTGCGTGCAGCGCCGCTGGGGGCGACGATGCGGGGCATTGAAAGCTCTCACAAGCAGAGGCTGCCCTCCTGAGTGGGCAGCGGAACATCAAGACGGTGCTGAGAGATGACAGGGGCTGGCAACAGCTGGTGACAGCTCAAATGAAGATGCAGTGCGGGTGGGACGTTCAAGTGCCATCACTTGTTGATTAATTGCAGTGGTCGTGTAACAGTAGCGGGAAAGCAACAGCCACAGTTGGATGCAATGGTCGGTAACAGTCCCGGGAAAAGCCACAGAAAACAGCTATACTACAGCTTCACATGCAGCACGAGCCCCGCCGCCACCTCGAGCACCGCCGCGGGCGGCAAGGTGGGCCCCACCAGCATGCAGGTCCCCGCCCCATCCAGCATCCACAGCTCCACATCCAGCGCTTCGTTCAGGCGCAGCGGCCGGCGCAGCATGCCGATCAGGCCGTCCAGGCTGGCACAGCCCTGCAGCGCCTCCCTGGCGCACACGGCACGCGTCACGCGACACTCCAGTCGGTCAATGGATGCAGAGGGGGGAGGATGCATGGCGTGCCTGCTGGCGTGCCTGCATGTGGCTGGTGCTCTCACCTGTCCTCCAGCACAGGAGCAGACAGGTCGCCCTCCAGGCAGCTGTGCACCTGCAGCACGCGGGCGCCGGGCGGCCAGCGCAGCTGCACGCGGTCGAGCACCGGCGGCGCCAGCAGCACCGCCGGCTGCTGCTGCTGCGGTGCCAGGCCTGGGTACGGCGGCGGTGACCGTGCACCTGCGGCTGGCGCCGCATTGCAGCTGCCCCCCGCCAGCAGGGCGCGGATGAACGATTTGCTGGCAGTGCTGATGCGGCCGGGGTGCGAGGCTGGTGGCGCAGAGGCGCGGGCGGGCTGACGCTGCCCCTGCGGTGGCAACGGCAGTGGGTGACCCGACTCGGCCGCCGAATGGCTGGGTGATAGGATGGTGGTGGCCACAGAGGGGTGGTTAGATGGCTGCGAAGCCGCCGGCTGCCCCGAGCCAGACTGTGCCTGCTGCCATGCTCCATGCTGCGCCGCATGCTGCTGCTGCCGCAAAGGGCGCTGCTGCTGCTGCGGGTGCCGCGTCGCGTGCTGCTGGTACTGCTGCCGCGCCGGCTGCTGCCACCCCCGCAACTGGCGCTGCTGCTGCTGCTGCTGCTGTGTCGCCTGTTGCGCCAGCTCCGGCACATCCTCCAGATACACATCGCGCCCCTCATGCATGCGCCTGTAGTACACCTCTCCGCTGCTGCCGGGGTAGTCTTTGAGCAGCGGGAACGTGCCGTGCCTGCCATCACCAATCACAGCCTCGCGCACGCCGCTGCACAGGCGCCCGGCCGAGCAGGAGGACCATCAGTGGCTCAGGGTTGGTTCCTGGAACTTGCAGCGGCGACCGGCGCCAGGGTCCGGCACAGGCACAGGGAGCCCAGGGGGCAGGCTGGAGCAGGCTGCAGCAGGCTGGCAAGGCGCAGGCGCGGGCAGGCGGCGCGCTCACGGGAGATCGGAGTAGAACTGCACGGCCAGCTCGTCGGGGCGCGGGATGTGGCGCAGCGGGTTGCCGGGCCCCGCGATTTGCAGGCCCTCCATGCTGCTGGCGCGGCTGCACGGCGCGACAGGCGCCCAACGATGCGATCCCGGTCACGTGGCGACAGCGACTGAACGGCATGCATGTGATACCCAGAATGTGGTGTCCAAATAATGGGCTCCACAGGGGACTCCATCCAAAGCAGGTGGCAACAGCTGACAGCGGGCTGGACTGTGGGCCACAAAAGACCTGAAGGCCCGTCGGCACTTGTGCGCTGCCTCCCAAGGCTCACACCTGAGGGCCACGTATGCCTGGCCTGGCGCAAAGGCGCTGCTAAGGTCCACCACTACACGATCCAGCGTCATGCCCTGGCTCTTGCTGCGGGGTTTGCGGGGAGGGACAGGCGGCAGCAGAGTAAGGGGATGTGGGCTCAGGAGCAGGAAAGCAGGCTGCTGCTGAATGCGTGCAGCACTCACTGGATGGTCAGCGCCCAGGCCAGCATGAGGGGCAGCTGCACGCGGAAGATGGAGCCCTTGCCCAGCACCTGCAGGCCGGGGCAACACAGGCAAGCAGGCACAGTTGCCAAGCTTGCCTGACGGTGCCCTGCACTTGTGCACGGAGCTACCAGGGCTGCTCAACCACGTGGAGGGAGCCTGCCTGCCGCTACCTTGTACTCGAAGCTATTGGGCTGCATCACAAGCGGCTTGGGCACCTTCTTGCTGGCCCACCGCACCACCGGCAGCACCACCAGCACCCCTGCATTTGCCTCTGCTGCCGCTGAGCCGTCCTCATGCTGCTGTGCAGGTGGCGCGCCACGCCTAGGCACCCAGCCGTGCTGAGGCTGCTGCAGCTGCCGCGCCAGGGACTCCTGCTGCTGGATGTACGCGGTCAGCACCTGAATCTCTCGCTCCGCTATCGCCACCTGTGAGCATGTGCACATGAGGCCAGCACAATTGGTCAATTGCAACGCACAGCAAGGCTCAGTGGCACCAGCGAGAACCAATAAGCAGCAGGAAGCGCCTGCCCCACACCAGCACCGCCTCCCAACCTGCACCGGCAGAGGCTGGTGGCCGTGCTGCCAGACCTCGTAATCGCCATCCCACTCTGGCAGCTGCACCCTCGCCCCTGCACTGCCTGGGCGCCGGCTGCTGGCTGCAGGTGGCTGCTGCTGCTGCTGCTGCTCGCGCTGCTGGAAAGCGGCAAGGTGATCGCTGGCGCGCTGGAAGCCGGATGGGCGCTCGGCCTGCGCTGCTGGTGCCGCTGCTGGTGCCGCTGCGGGCCTGCCAAGGCTGCTACCAGAGCTGTGCGGCTGTGGCGGACTGGTGCTGCCTATCTCTGGCTCGGCGGGCACCTGCTCTCCTGCCGGTGCCGCTGCAGGCGCCACCGCAATGGCGGCAGGAGCCGAGAGCGGCCGCTCCTGGGCACCCATCCGCTGCCGCTTGGCCGCGGGCTCCCCGCCGGCCGCCTGCACGACGCAGCCAGGCTGCTGCTCGGCGCCTGGGCCGGTGCTGCCAGCCTGCGCAGCAGCGCCGCTCCCCACCGCCACAAAGGCTGCTCCCGCCCCTGCTGGCCCTGGCCGGGGCGTCGCCCCTCCTGAAGCTGACCCCGGGCGCGAGCTGGGCGGCTTGTGCAGCTCCCGTTGCAGCTTGGCCAGCAGCTGCTGCAGGCGCGCCAGCTGGGCCCTGCACTCTCCAGGCACAGACCAGCGCAGACACAATCAGTGGGCTCGACGTGAGCGCCGCCGCTTGCGCTGGCACGCATCCATCCCTGGCACTGGCACACCAGCCCGCCCAAGCCAGCACCTGCGGCTCCCTTACCCACCTGGCATCCAGGAAGCCTACCACCACGCCGCGGCTGCCGTTGACCAGCCCGCACCCCAGGTTTGCCACGCACATCACTTGGGCGCTGGTCTTGAGGAGCAGCGGGTCCTTCACCTTCCGGTCCTCCTTCAGCACCTGCCGGCAGGCGGGCAGGCAGCCAGAAGGAGGCAGTGGGACGAACTTGGCACAGGCGCAGGCCTGAGGCCGGTCGGCTGCTGCTCGTACCTGCTTCTCGTGCCTGCCCGACGCTGGGGGAAGCTACATGCCACAGTGCAGTACCAAGCAAGTGCCGCCCAGCCAGCCACCTGCCCCCACCAAGCACGTACCTCGGGCATGGCCGTCTCGAGCTTCAACAGCCGCCTGTGCACCGCAGGGCAGTGCGGGTCTTCGCCGCGCCGCACCTTGGGCTCCAGGCGGTGGGCTGCAAGAGCAGGCCAGGCAAAGCAGCGCCATGGGAGGGGCGCCCGCCAGCAACTTGCGCCTTTCGGCGGGCAGGCGGTGCATGGCTACGTGCATGCAGAACGGGCTCACACACCCTACCCAGCCGCTGCTCCTACCTGCGCGGAACTCGTGCTGCGGCCCCGGCAGCTTTGCCAGCTCGGCGGCGTTGCGCTGCCCAGCATCCAGGTTTTTGCTGCAGGGAGGGGAGGGGCGGGGCAGAGGAAAGCTCTGGCAGGGCAGCCGGGGCTGGCACTGGTCGGGAGCAGGTGCAGCCAAAGGCGGTGACAAGCTGTTGGAGTGAAGCAGCAGGGGCAGCCTTTTAGCTGACCAGTACAGGTGGGTGGCTAGGATGCCATCGTCACACAGCAGGGGGCGGCTGCATCAACACAGGTGGGGGAGAGAAGGGGGGACCAGCGGGCATTCCTTGCTTGGCTGCGAAGGACGCATCAGTGGCAACCAAAGCACGCACAGCAGGAACAGCCACATTGTGGATCGCCCCGCAGGGGCAGGCGGGCAGGAACGCACCTGCAGCGGCGCCAGAGCTCGTCCAGCTGCTCAGCGGTGGCGGAGCCGTCGCGCAGCGCATGAAGGATTGCCACAAACTCGCGGTCTGCCTGGCGGTGCACCTGCGCAGTAGCGAGAGGGAAACCATGTGGCAGGAGAGGAGAGGCGCGGAGGAGAGCCCTCATCCAGGCCCAGGGAAGAAGTGCAGACTGGCCCTGAAAAGATGCATGCTCCAGATGGCTGGCTGCCAAAGACAGCGCTGGCCACAGCGGGCTCGGCCTCACACCTTCTTCAGCATGGCCACCTCCAGCCCCAGAGACGTCCACGCGCTTGTCTGGAAGCACAGGCCGCGGTTGCACACAGCGGCGCCGTTGCGCACCTGCCGCGCAGTCAGCTTGCCGTTCCTGCACGCAGCCGTCGCAGCAAGGCGCTCGTAGCTGCAGGATCCAGCAGCATGAGAGCGACGCAGCAGCGCTCGCACGACAGCAGTTGCTGCCCCCATGCCGTCATGCACGCTCACTTGAGCAGCTTCTCATCCAGGTTCTGCACCGCCAGCTCGTGCTGCCGCAGGTTCTGCGCATCGCCCTTGTTCACCGGGGGCAGCTGCAGTTAAGGGCGGGCGGCAGATGCCAGAACGCTCTTGGCCTGGCGTTGGCATTTGGCCGGTGCAGGACCAGCTGGCCGCACAAGCTGGCTGCAAAGGACAGCAGTCCGCCGCTCCCTTCCAACTCGGCACACCCACAAAAGCCACGCTGCATCATGGAAGCCTCGCCACACACACTGTCACTACACCACACCACACAAGTGCCACGCACCTGCAGAAAGTCTCCCACAAGGATGAGCTGCAGCCCCGCCAGCGGGCGCCTCAGCTTCGCCCTGAGCCGCTCCCGCAGCTCGCACCCCTCCTCCAGGCCCTCCATCTGGTCTCGGATGTGTGCGGCACGGGCGGCGTAGATGGCCTCTGCCAGGTGCTGCAGCATCTCAGCAGACAGCATGGACACCTGCACAAGGTGTGTCGCAGCTAAAGGTCAGCCGCAAACAGGGCAACAGAGGGCAAGCTGGGAAGAGAGCAGCGCACATGGCGCCAACGAGGCACGCATGTTTGGCTTGCCTCGTCGACGATCAGGACATCCAGCGCCCCCAGCTTCTCGCTGCGCTTCTTCTTCACACCCACGATGTGGCCAACCTGCGTGGCAGGGCAGCCCAGCGGGAAGGTTGCTGCTGCGAGCGAGTGCATGCATGCCAGTGCTGGGCGCATGGTCGGGTGGGCATCGGTAGCCCACCGCCAGGTCCTGCCACCTCACCTTGGTCGCAACCCCAATTTGTAGCACCCTGTGCAGCGTGTCGCCGCCCACCAGCTCCGCTGCACACCCCGTCAGCGCGGCCAGGGCCACCTGCATGGGCGGTTGGCAAGCACGGTTTGGCCACGCGGGATGCCCTTCTGCGGATTCCCTCCGTCCCGCCCCCTTCTTTCTCACCTGCTTGTCCTCCTGATCAAAGTGATCGATCATGTGGCGAATCCAGTGACTCTTGCCCGTGCCCCCAACACCCGTAAGGAACACATTTCGGCCAGCAAGCACGAGGTCCCTGCAGGCGGCGGCGGGCGGTGGCGGGTGGAGGAGGGTGAGGGCGGGTGAGCGAGAGGTGACGGTGGCAAGCTCAGCAGACCGTAACGAAGCCTCCTGCGCCTGAGCCGCACGCCTACGGCACAGCTGTCGCCAGTTCTCACTTGACGGCCTGCTGCTCCTCGCTCAGGCTGGGCTGCTCGAGACATGGCGCCTCCATAGCGCCTACCACGTTGAGTGCACTCCAAAGAGCTCTACGTGATCAATCTTGCGCGCTGGCATCTCACGCTGCGCACGCTGAGGCGGCGCCGCCCCCAAACTGGTGTTCACATGCGTATGAAACTTTATGGCCGGCTGCACTCCTCAGCCTGAACATGGCTGCCACTTCATGGGGAGATGGTGGTGCGCAAGTTGTGCTGCCGCTGCGTCGTGCAACCTGGGCAGGCGGACTGGCGGCGGGGGAGCTGGCCGTGCGGTTGCAGCGGGGTTTCAAACACCGTCTTCCAGAGCCGCGCTAGGGCTCGCTGTGTGTAAAGCGTCAACTGACAGCACCTTGAGGACCATCCGCACTTGCACCCTGACTATGAGCCACCTTATGTGCGGCGACTGGCAGTACCACACGGCGGCAAGCATCAGCAAGAATAGATCTCAAGGAACATATGTGTAGAAATTAATATCAGGCACGGGGAAGGGGGAAAGACATCATAGCAAGGTAGCCAGCAGGGTCGCGGCGAGGAGGCAGGGCACCAGCAGCTGGGCGGCAAGGGGCGCATGATGCAGCGCAGCGCTGCTTTCGGTTTCATTGCCGCTGGTCCAGCGGCAGCGCAGGCTCAGCAGGCCACTGCACTCGTACGTCCTCTCGGGTGCAGGCGAGGTGCCCACAGGGAAGCAGTCTGCGCTCAGCTCCAGCCCGGGACCAGCTTGCCCATGGCCGGCTGCACTGCTGCTGGCGTTCGCGAAGCAGCCGGTCCGTTTGGGGCAGGGGAGGAGGCGGTGGACGGCGTAGGCGAGGGTGCGGCTGCCACAGGCGAGGGCGAGGGTGAAGGCGAGGGTGAGGGGGAAGCGGTGCGCATAAAGTTGGGAGCCAGCCTGGTCTGCTGCGCCTGCAAGGCAGGCAGTTGGCACGATGGGCATCCTGGTGAGCAAGCGCCAGCGTGGCCACACCAACACAGCGGGCGCAGGAGCAAGAGACCAGCCCCGCCTGCCCTGCCTTCCCCGCCCCCACCTGCAGCAGGCGGGGCACGGTGGTGGTGCTGAACACCACCCGCTGGCTGGCGTTGGTGAGGATGGAGGCCATGTCGGCCACAGTCGCGGCGGGGAAGGCCTGCAGGATGAGCGCCGCCACGCCCACGGTGTGCGGCGAGGCCATGGAGGTGCCTGACATCACGGCGGAAGAGGTGTCGCTGCGGCAGGAGGTGGGGTAGGAGCTGCTTCTCAGGCACAGGCCCGGCAGGCGCAGGCTCGGACGGGGGCCGGTACAGGGTGGTAGGCGACCCGGGGCAAGCAACGGCGGCAGCGGTGCTGTTTACAGCCCCGTAGGCCCACCTGGAGATTCCGGCGCTGGTGATGGAGGAGCCCGGCGCAAAGATGTCGACGCAGGAGCCGATGTTGGAGAACGGCGACAGCTGGTCGCTGGAGTCGGAGGAGGCGACGGCGATGGCCTGGGGGTTGGAGGCGGGGGACTGGGAGCAGGCGTCTGCAGGGAGCGAATGGGAGAGCAGGGTGAGGCTGGTGCGTCGAAGTGGAGAAGGCCAGGCAGGAGGCAGGCAAGGTGACTCCTCCTCTCCCTGCTGGTCCATGGACCGTTCTCACCCGCGCCATATCTGCAGCAAACATGCTGAGATGTCAGTCACGGCTGATCGGCAAATTCAGTCAGAAAAATCCCGCAAGCATGACTGTTGCTCACTTGTTGCCCGCCGACGTCACCACTGGAATCCCAGCATTGATCAGCTGCTGGGCAGCATCGTTGAGCGCGGTGCTGCGTGGGCCACCTGCTCAGCAAACCAGGCCGGGCGCAGGCAGGCAGGCTGGAAGGCAGGGAAATGGCCGTGTGGATGTGCTGCAGCTGGGTGCACCATGCCGTGCAGTCGTGCCATCAAAACCCATTCACTCACCGAGCGACATGTTGACGACGCCCCGCCAGCCGTTGCGCTTCACGTGCTGCACCACCCACGACATGCCTGCAGGCGGGCAGCAGGGAGGGTCATGGGCACAGGAATCCGGCGCACAGCAATGGGCGTCCACCACCATCCACACAAGCCGCCACGCACTGCCAGTACCTGCGATGATGTTGGAGTAGGAGCCGCTGCCGTCGTCGCCCATGGTCTTGACCGCATGAATGGTGGCCTTTTTGGCCACGCCAAACTGGGAGCCCATGGCTGTGCCGCTCACGTGCGTGCCGTGTCCCTGCAGGCAGAGGGAGGCAGGTGGGGAGGCATGGCCGCGGCTGGCTGCTGGCGCAGGGGTACAAAAGTAAGATTTTTGAACAAGTGGATTGCCGCTGCCGTGGCCAGCCCATGCCAAACTCACGTGGCCGTCCCAGGCTGCCACCACCTCCACGCCAGCGGTGGCGTTGGCGCCCTCAAGCTCCCCGGCAAAGATGGTGGCCCGCAGGCAGTCCAGGTCCTCAGGCAGGCAGTCGATGTTGGCGGCCGCCACGTTGGCCGCCACGCTGCTGTCGCCAAAGCCCTGCACCGCGTAGCCGCTGGTGAAGGACACAGACTCGCCCACCCGCCCAGAAAACTCGGAGTGGGTGCTGCAATCAGTAGCAGCGGGGAGGGCACAGGCGCGTCAGTTGGGTATGTGGGTTGCGGCACTCAGCAAGGCGGCCGGCCCGTTGCCTGATGGGCGCCGACCCCACTGGCTCGTCTCACGTGCGCAGTCCGGTGTCAAGCACATAGATGTGCACGCCGCGCCCATCCAGGCCAGGCGCAAAGGAACCGTCCAGGGGCAGGCTGGCCTGGTCGATGCGGTCCAGCCTGCGGCAATGTGGGGCCCCTCGGTCCTCAGCAGGAAGCTTCATCAGTCACCTCCCAGCCTCACTGTAGCATGAGACCGCCTGCTGCCTGCCATGCCCGTCCGCACTCACCCCCAGGGTGCGGCGGCGTCCACGGTGGCCACGTCGCCAGGCAGCTCGATGGTGGCCTCTGGGATGTGGTCCACGGTGGCGATGCGGTCCCGCTCAATGTACTGCACCACATCTCCCAGCGCGCGCCGCATGGCCAGCAGGTCGGCCTGCGGGGGCAGGGAACGAAGGGCAAACCAGAAGGGCTGGGTTGGTCACAACAGGAATCGCCAAGCAATATTGCATAGCTGCCTCGCCCGGGGGGCCTGTTCTGGTCACGCGCCGCCTGCCACCCCCAGCCCCTCAAATTGTTGCCCAGCCCGGCCCAGCTCACCGAGGACTCCACAGAGAAGGTCTGGAAGCTCCAGTCCACCGGGCTGAAGGGGTCGGCCTCGGCCTGCGCCAAGGCCGTTGCAGTAGTACGCATCCATTCATTCATTCAGCACACAGACCGGCCGCCTCTTGCTCGAGGGCGGCCCACTTTGGCCTGGGCAGCCCGGGCCGCCCTCCCCCCCGGGCGCATGTTCGGTGTTGGAGGGGTGTGCCCAGCGATAGGGGGCCCCTGAAGGCATGCGCCGAGGCCGGGAAGCGTGGTTCGGCGCTGCTGCACGCTTGGCGATTTGAACAGAACCACGTGCCGCCGAGCTGCGGCCGCAGTTTCCGGCCCACGGTCTACGGTCGCAGCCACGGGACTCGGCGGCACGGCGTTTGGGCCCAAGCTTGCTGCCGCCGCCGCCGTGCCCGGGGGGCAGCGCGGCGGCGGCGGGGGCACGCTGCGACGCCCCCGTGCTGCCGAGTTGCGGCCGTAGTTTCCTGCCAGAAGCCCACGGCCACAGCCACGGGACTCGGCGGCACGGCGTTTCGGTCCACGGCTTGCTGCCGCCGCCGTCGCAGGGGTGCTGCCTGCGGCGGCGGCGGCACGGCGTTTGGGTCCACGGCTTGCTGCCGCTGCCGCCGCCGCAGGGGTGCTGCCTGCGGCGGCGGCGGTAGCGCACGTGGCAACCCCCCGCGTTTCCTTGCCTCCCATCCACCGGACCCCGTCCTGCGCTTCACTTTGTTTAGGGAGGGGCTGCTCACTGCTCATTGCTCATTGCTCATCGCACACTGCTCAACGCTCATTGCCCTATATCCCACCCAGCCGCAGGACTCCACTGCCGCCCGCGCCCCGCCCCATCTGGCCGCTTGCGCGCCCCATCCCCCCTCGATGGGGCCCGCCCACACCGGGGCCTCCCCCCTCCCGCCCACTGCTTTCTCAACGGCCCCGAGCCGGGGCTGCCCTCATTGCATACATAGTGCGCCTTTCCCTGCTTTTCTAGTGACCTAGCGTTCCGCACTGCCGTTTGGCCAGCCCATGCTCCCGTACCGTTGCGTTTCTCCCCAATGCGCCATGCCACTTTGCCAGTCATACACACGTTTCGATGCGTGCCCTGTCAGCTGCTTGCGTTGCATGTCGCCTTGCTCCACCCCTGTTTTATTGCTTTCTCTGCTTTCGCCCGGTTCCCGTCCCGTTTCGGCGGGGAGTCTATGTTGCAAGCTAGTTCTTGCTTTACCAGACTTTAAGCCCACACAAGCTGCGCACCTTCCCCGCAGACGCCGTTGAAGCGGGAGGCAGCATCGTCGGTGGCCAGCTCCTCGCAGATGCTGGCCAGGTCCTCGTTGCTCACGTTGGGCTGCAGGCAGGCGGGCAGGGTGGGCGCAGGCAGGGGGTCGAAAGGGAACGCTGGGGATGCGGGTGCAACAGCTGCTTGCAGCTGCCACGGCCGGAACTGCGCTTGCCGAGCAGCACCCACCCCGCCGCCCCAGCCCACCTTGAGGCGCATGATGAAGCCGGTGGAGGCGTCGGCGGGCGTCTCGCCCTGCACCATGAACTCGTCGCCGTCGAACAGCGGCACCAGGTCCTGGGTGGGCGGGGCGGAGGCGGGGCGCTCGCCGCACAGGGCGCCCACGCAGGGGAAGGGGGCGGAGGTGTCCGCGTCTGCGCTGGTCTGGAAGGGGAAGACGTCGCTGGAGTAGAGGAAGGCGGTGTCCAGCTGCAGGGTGAAGCCGGTGCCTGTGCCAGGGCAGCGCAGCGGGGGGAGCGGGCAGGGGTAAGAGCTCGAGCAGGATGTGCAGACCGCAGGGGCAGAGCGCAAGTGGTGTGGACTGGGCCTGTGTCGCTGCCGCCGGGCAGCCTGGCAGCTTCCCTCCCACCGGCCTGTGGGCAGCTCCCCGCTGCTCCACAAGTTCAGCAGGCTGCCCAGCCACCCACCCGACTTGTCCAGGATGCAGAGGCGGTTCCACATGGAGGGCAGGGAGGACAGCTTGGTGCCGGAGGAGTCGGTGAGCTTGACAAAGTTGACCTGCGGCGGGTGGGCGGGCACGGGCAGCAAGCACAGACGGCTCACGGTAGTGGGTGCCGGGCAGGCAGGTAGGCACGAAGACAACGCCCTCTCCTGCCCAGGGACAGCCAGGGGCAGCTTCTGGTGTCTTCCCTCACACCCCTCAGCAGCCCCGCCTCCCCACCTGGATGTGGTACCAGCCGTCATCGGAGGGCCCCGCCAGCACGCGCGCGTCGCCGCGCCCCGCACCATCTAGCGTGATCATGCGCGACTGGCGGCGGTTGATGGTGTCCTCAAGGTAGAGTGCGCCGTTGGTCAGCGCGGAGCCCTTGACCCACGCATCCAGCACGCTGCAAAGCCAGGCAGGGGTAGAGGCGGCAGATCGAGCCAAAGATGGACATCTTGCAGCAGCGGCGGTTGACCGCACGGCTGGAGGTACCGCGGCGGGTGACTGAGTTCCTCGAGTTCCTTGCAGCGCCCAGCACCCACCTCATGCCCGTGAATGGAAGGTTAGAGGCGAAAATGGCGTTGCCCCATGGCACCACTTGAGCGTACACAGAGGAGGTGGAGCCGTTGCGGCGCCGCAGGCGGTCAGCAAACACGCAGTCCTGGCAGCTGCAGGGGAAGCAAGGTGGCAAGAGGGAGCTTGCGGAGGCTTGCAGCGTGCAAAGGGTAAAGTTTCAGAGCAGGAGTGGACATGAGTGGGCGGGCGAGGCAAGCGAGGTGGTGGGTGTTGCTGGGCGTTGCGCCACCCGTCCGTGCCGGGGTGGGTGGATGGCGGCAGGCCGCCGAAGCGCACCCATAGCCCGCCCACTTCCAGCCATCGCCTAGGCCGGCGCCCACGGTGAGCAGGGAGAGCAGGGAGGCGTCCTGCGGTCAAAACAGCGTGAGTGGTCAGCAGTGGTCAGCGGGGTTCGTGTGAGCGTGCGACTCCGGCCCCTCCCGCTCTTACCACCGCTGCAACGTCCTCGCACGTGGCGAGCTTGCAGAGCAGCAGGAAGGCGGCCGATGCCAGCAGCAAGCCGGCAGTGGTGCGACTCATCGCTGGGGTGCGGCTGGAGGTACTGGCGAGAAGGACTAGAAGGCTGTGAAGCTGAAAGGATGGCGAGAAGAAGTGAAAGACGCGGTTTGTAGGCACCGGTGCAGGAGGTGGGTGGCGGCGCAACGGGACATCCACTTTCCAATTGTCGCATCTCATGTCAAGGCCCTTGGGTGCCCCATCACTGCTCCCTCTGTTGCCAGCCACCTGTGCAAGCTGGGCCGCCAAGTTGGGCTGCCAAGCAGGGGTTTACAGGGGAAGCCCGCTGCACAAGATGGAACCACGTGCATCATCACTTGAACACCACGGTTGCCGCCCAAACTTGCTCCTCCTGCTGCAAGCCGCCCAGCGCCCGCTGCGCCCCAAGGTGGCCCCTGCAGCACCAATTCCTCAGGTCAGGGCCAAGCTGAGTGCACTCCACCTCAGATCCTAACCACGCTCTCCAGGCGGCCAAGCCACCATCATCACAGGCTCGCGCAGCCCGCACCTGTCGGCCAGCAGCTTGAGGCAGGCCAGCAGCTGGCGCGTGTTGCTCGCCAGCTGCAGCATGCGACAGACTGCGGGCACCGCGATGCTGCGGTACGCCGCCGCCATCACCACCAGCGCCTGCTCCCGACCGCGCTGCGCCGCCGCCACCGTCACAAGCTGCACCAGCTGCGGCGCGCTGCTGCGGAGCCTAAACAGCGACACAAAGTTGCCGCCGGGCCCACCCAGTGCCGAGTGCAGGCGCAGCGCCAGCTGCACCTCGGGCGTCTCCAAGATGCGCCGAGGAAAGCGCCGCAGCGTGGTCAGCGTGTCCAGCCGATCGCCCGCCTGCTGCTGCACGCACGCAAAGTAGAGGGACAGGGCCGCCGCCGCCTCGGGCCAGCGCCGAAACTCGGGCTGTCGCAGGGCTGCCGCCACCGTGGCGCCGTCGACGAGGGCGGCACCCAGCCCTCCCAGCAGCCCCGCATCACCGTCCTCATCGCAGCCCTCGTCTGCCCAGCGCGCCACCGCCGCACAGCCACTGCCCTGTTCTGCTGCTGCTGCTGGTAACGATGGCGCGCTGGAGGTCAGGCCAGGTGGGCCAGCAGGCACTGGCGAGCACCGCTGCTGCTGCTGCTGCTGCAGCTGCTGCACCGCCAGCGCAGGGTAAATGAGGTGCACCAGCTGCTGCAGCGCTTTCAGGGCTTCGGGCCAGTCCTGTGCACGGGCGCACACATCGGCAGCACACTCGTACACCTGCTGGCGCAGGGTGGGCCAAGCAGGACGGGCAGGCATGGGGGCAGTGAGGGGCTGGCGAGGCAGTAGCTCGACGTATGCTGGCCCCGCCAAGCAGCTTCCTGGCTCGTTCATTGCATCAGCAGGTGCAGGCACCTGTCGGCGAACGCTGAGGGTGCTGCCCACGCCACCAGCAGCAGCAGCGCGCAGCAGCAGCGCAGGACCAGGCAGCATCCTGCCACACCTCCCGGGTGAAGTGGGACAGCTGCCGCAGCGAGGTGAGTGTCTCGCGCAGAGCACGGCAGCGAGGCACCAGGTCCCGCCAGGCATCCACTGCACGCAGGCGTGGGCAGGGCGCACTTGTTGAGCTGTTTCCTACCTGCACTTGCTGGCTGCAGAATGAACCAGCAGCGCATAGAGTTGCTCACTACCTGAGCTTCCTGCCGTCTCATCGATGCACGCCTGCCGCTCCAGCGAGAGCTCCAGCACCCGCTGCTGCAGCCGATCGAAGGCGGCGTGGCACTGCAGTATGTCGCCGACCAGCAGCGTCGGGCGGGGCGGCGCCGCTCGCCTGCGGCAGGGCAGGGCGGGGAGCGCAGACAGCAGCAGCGCGTGGCGTGAATGGCTTCGCCCCTGAATGGCACGCCTGTGTGCTTCTCTTCCTGCGTGCAAGAGCAACGGGTGCCTCCTCGACCCCACCTGCCGTCGGCGATGCGGGACTGCATTGGAACGACGATCTGGCAAGCCTCGGAAGGTGTCAAGACCAAATCGCGGCGAAATACTAGGCACTTGCTGGCTGCTGCGTGCTGTGGTTTTGGGTGGCATGTGTGTTGGTAGCGCTCTCCTCCCTCACCGTCTGATCGCTCCATCGCCAACCTCAGCCATGGCCACCACCGCTGCAGCCGGCTACGTGCGGTGCTTCGCTGCCTCCACCGGCAGGCGGGCAGTAGCCTCCAGGAGCCTGGCTGCCAGGCCGGTGTGCGCAATGCCGACCCGCAGCTTCTTCGGGGGCCTGTTTGGCAAGGACAAGAGGGAGGTGCGTGTGGTTGCAATGGCCGGCCAAGCGGTGGCGGCAGCCGAGCGGCGGCGGCTTCTAGTAAAACGTCGGGGCAGAGGCGTTGCCGCGTTCCGACCAGTCTCAGGACGCAGGCGATCAGCTGAGAAACCCCGTCCCATTGACTGCTGAGGTGCAGGGCAAGAACGACGAGGTGCTGAAGAGGGCCCGCGCGGCCAAGCGCGGCACCGAGCTGGCGCCCGCCACGCCGCCTGAAGGCCTGGAGATTGCCACGGTGGCGGGAGGCTGCTTCTGGGGTGAGCGCCGGCGCGGACGCGCCTGGGGGCCTGGCAGCCGCCACCAGCAGGTGGCAAGTCCCTGCCTCAAGCCTCGTCCCATGTGCACCTGCTGGCCTGAAACCCTGTGCTGCCTATGCCGCCTCCTGCACCCGCGTGCAGGGCTGGAGCTCGCCTACCAGCGCGTGCCAGGGGTGGTGAAGACCAGCGTCGGGTACACAGCGGGCCAGGTGCCCAACCCAACCTACGAGGAGGTGTGCAGCGGGCGCACAGGGCACACCGAGGCGGTGCAGGTGCGTCGTGGGACACTGACCGAGCGAAGCGCACCCCACTTGGGCTGGCTGCCCGGCCAGCAGACCACCCGCACCCGCTCGGATGCTCTCTTGTGTACTGCTGCCTGCATGTCTGGCCTCCGCGGGGGCAAGGCGCTGGTGACCTGCCCTGCACCGAACCTGCCAACCGCCTGCGTGTGTGTGTGTGTGTGAGTGTGTGTGTGTGTCTGCCCACAGATGTACTACGACCCCGCCACCTGCACCTTTGAGCGCATCCTGGAGGAGTTCTTCGAGGTGGGAGGAGCAACCTTGGGAGCACACCTGTTCCCACACTTTGGAAGTTGTTTTCACTGCTTGGAAGTTGTTGCTCTGAAGGAGCGCTTGGTCGGTGCGATTGACACAAGGGATACTTCCCTGCCTGCATGCCCGCGCGTCAAACCCTGCCCTGGCCTGCCCTGTGCTTGCATGCAGAAGGTGGATCCGACCACGCTGAACAGGCAGGGCAACGACGTGGGCACGCAGTACCGCTCAGTCATCTTCTACCACAACGAGCAGCAGAAGGAGGCGGCGGAGAAGGTGGGGCGGCACGGCCGCCCGAGATCATTGCTGCGCTGTCCTGCTGCGGGCGCATGATGCTGGCGCAGGGCAGAGGGCGTGCCGAGGCTGCAGCAAGCAATGCCGCGGATGCGCTCCCATGCCGTGTTTATGCTGCCTGTGTGCAGGCGGTGGCCGCCACCAATGAGAAGCTTGCGTCGGGGCTGTTCCGCCTCCCCGGCAAGAAGGTGCAGACCACCATCGAACCAGCCACCGACTACTACCTAGCAGAGGTGTGGAGGGGGAGCCGGGGCTGTGTGTTGAGCGCGGAACAGCTACCGCGCAGCAGCATCTGTGTTTGAAGGGCAGCATGTACGCCCAGCACACCTGCCCGCCTGCTTGCCCGATTGTTTGATGTGTGCGTATGTGTGCGTTGTACTGCAGGACTACCACCAGCAGTACCTCAGCCGCGGCGGCCGCTTCAACCGGCCGCAGAGCGCTGAGAAGGGATGCAACGACAAGATTCGTTGCTGTGAGTGGGGCTGGGCTTGGTGCAGGGCAGGGGGCCTGCAAGGCTGTGCCAGTGCTTTTGTGCGTTCCTGCGTCGTTTCGTCATGCTGAGACTCTCACGTGCTGGCTGTCCTCTGGTGTGCAGATGGCTGATGTCCTTCCAACTGAGCATTGTTGGTGCTGGAGCGCTCATCCCTATCTGATTCCTCGGCATTTTTTCCACCAGTTTTCCGTTGTCAGCGCTTGAACTCAACCAACCTGCAAACCTCTGTGAAACGAACCAGTGTCTGTGCCGCCCGGGCCGCAGTGTTACAGATCGTTGGGGCAATGGTAGGCAATGGTACAGTGCGCATGGCAGCCAGTTGCTTTCTTCCCAGTGGGCCTGGGCTGCCCAGCTACTCGTGCATCTCCACCTGCGGCAGCAAAGAGGGCAGGAGGGGAGTGACGTGACACCAGACATGTGGGGTCGCCGGGCATGTTGGGGGAGACAACTGGCAGGCAGGCGCTCGTGCTGCGCATGTGCTGCACGGAGGCTCACATAGTCTGGGTTCTCTCTGAGGATGACCACGCCCTCCAGTGTGCTGCTGGCTGCAGCAACACAGCGCAGGGCCACGAGGCAGCAGCAGCGCAGTGAGCGGTCAGCAGCAGCAGGCGACACGCGGGGGGGAGCAAGGGGAGGAGCGCACCACCACCACCGCAACGCCGCGGCCGAGTGTTCTGCACGCCCCCACCTGGGATGTACTTTTCTGTGCCCAGCTCCGCACGCTCCCCCACAGACAGCAGCACCGGCGTGGTGTGCGTCTGGAAGCCTGTGATGGTCTTGGGCCGCCCCGCCTGCATGCCGGGCAGGGCAGCGCAGGGCGGGCACGGGTCAGCGCAGGGCAGGGCAGCGCAGGGCGGGTCCACTGGCGACGCCATGCCACCACACTTCGTGAGAGGCAGCGCGCTGGGTGTGCGGCACGGCTGAGGCAAGAAACAGCGGCGAGGAGCAAGGGAGAGGGAGAGGAGTGGTTGCCTCACGCTGCACCATGCCGCCACCCCGCACCTGTGCCACCGTGTCCACCGCCTGGCCCACCCGCACCGGGCACGCCAGCATCGCACCCTCCTCGTCCACTGCAGGCCAGGGCAGGCCAGGAGCAGCGGGCAGCTCAGCGCACAGGGCGACACAGGGGGCAGAGCAGGCGGCGAGCGCCAGGCAGGCATCTGATGTGCAGAGGCATGAGGCGTGAGGTGGATATATGGGCGCAGGCAGGGTGGTGGGTGAGAGGGCAGCCCCGGGCTCAGAACCGTGTGTCAACACATCGCTGCTCCCCGGCCGCCTGGCCCGGCAGGCGCGGGCGCCGCCGTGGGCGCCAGGGGCGGCACAGCGGCTTGCAGATAAGATCAAGTAATTGGTCATCACCGCCCGGGGCGCCTCCGCACACCACACACCAATCGTGCAGGCACGGCGCGGCGCAGCGGCAGCCAGCGGCACGCACACGCAGCCGACGGCGCAGCGCAGCAGCCAGGGGAGTGGCTTCGGCCCCCAAGCCCCAGGGGGGCGCAACCCCACCCACCTGTCATGAGCATGCGTGGCTTCATGGCGGGTGTGAGGCAGTACAGGAGGTAGTGCTGCTTTCCAGCCAGGCTCGACTTCATGTCCAGGCCGCCCGCCAGCAGTACCGCCAGGATGCCTGCCAGCGCGGTGCCTGCAGGCAGCCGGGTGACGTGCGGGCAGCAGCGACTGAGCGCCATCAGCGAGGACAAAAGTCGGCCGCTGCACAGCGGCATGCGCAGCGCACCCCCCTTCCAGCTGCTCCCTCGCCCGCTCTCTGCACCCGGCACCCACCCCCCCCGTTGTCCAAGGCTCGCAGGCCCCAGGCACGCCCCCGCCAGCCCCGCCAGCGGCGCCCACCCACCGTTGAGCAGGGTGTGGTCTGAGTGGTATGGGTTGAGCGTCATCAGGCCCTTGCCCATGTGCACCAGACCCTGCAGGCAGGTCAGGCAGCCAGGCAGGCGGGCAGGCGGGCCAGGTCGGGCCGTGGCCAGCAGGCGCCAGCAGCGCGCAGCCGACCACACGCCAGCCGGCCAGCCAGCCGGCACCTCCAGCCTGCCCAGGAGAGCGCGGGGAGCACACAAGCACGCCTCCCCTCCCCTCCCTTTCCCTTCCCTGCCTCCCGCCCCTGCCCACGGCGTCCCGGAGTGGCGCCCAGGCAGGCCACGGCGCGCCAGGCTGGCACCCCAGCCCAGCCCGGCCCACCCCCCACCTGCGCCACTCTGACCAGGAAGAGCAGCGTTGGCTCTTTGTAGTAGTAGCTGCTCAGGTTGCGCAGGATGCCCGCCAGCCTGCATATGGCAGGGGAGGGGCGGAGCGAGGGGAGGGGAGGGGTGAGGGGAGGGGCAGGTGCTGTGAAAGAGGAACCGGTAAGCCACATGGCGGCGGTGGCAGGGGCTGCAGAGCGAGACGCGGCGGGGGTGGGGTGCCGGGCCCCGTGGTGGAAGGCATGGCTTGGGGAGGCGCCGCGCGTGTGCAGGCAGCAGGCGGCTGCGGCAGCGAGGCATGCACGAGCGCGTCGGGCGGCGCCACGCACGCACCGCGCGTTGTTGGTGCCCGCCCCGATGAAGCCCAGCGCCAGCACGGCGTTCATGGCCACATCGGTATCTGCGGGGCGAAGGGGGGCGGGCGGGTGGGTGGGTGGCTGAGCGTGGCACACACTATCTCTGCCTCAACCTTTATCTTTATCTGCCTTGATGCAAAAGTATTATGATAACAAAAGCCCCCATGGTCCACGAGATGATGTCACGAGATGCTGTCACCGCCACACCCTTGCCCGTCCCCCCCGGGGCAAACCCTCGCACCACCACCACCCCGCCGCCCACCTGTGTCGTGGCTGAGGCGCGACAGAGTGTCCATGACGGTCATGTCGGGGCTGCTGACGTTGAGCAGGGCCAGGGCCAGCGGCACGCCGCGCCTGCAGGAGAGGCGGTGAGCGTGGCGTTGGCGGCGGCAGGCGAGGCGGAGGCGGTGAGCGTGGAGGGGGCGGGGCGCGCGGGGCAGGCGTGCAGTGGGCGGCGGGGCAGTGCACCACCAGAGGCATCAGCCCCAGCCTCGCCACCGCCACGCACACCCATGCGCGCACTCTGCAACCCACACGCGCACACATGTACACGCCACCACCACACCCATACACACACACACACACACACACAGCCTGCGCCTCCCCGCGCCCCGCCCCGCCCACCTGGCCGCCGGCTCGCCGTACTGCAGCAGGTGCTCCAGCGCGCGGTGGCTCATCTGGCCGCCAAGCTCCTCAGACATGGCCAGCAGGCCCAGCCCCAGCACCGCCACCGGCTGGTGCGCCGCCTTCCACGCCGTCCCCTCCTCCACCTCAATGTGCTCCCCGCAGATCGCCAGCAGCTGCTGCACCTGCAGGGGCATGGGGCCAGGGGGGCGGGGAGGGGAGGGGAAGCAGGGGGTCGAGGGCGGGTGAGGGCAGGTGAAGGCAGGGCAGGGGAAGGGGGCCCAAGAGGGCCGGGAGCAGCAGCACAGCGGGGCGAGGGTCGCGACAGAGGGGAGGTCCAGCCATGGGCCAAGGCCCGGGCGGTGTAAAAGGCAGCGCCCCGCCCCGCTGGCAGTGCCACCGCGGCAGCAGGCAGGCAGGCTGCAGGCTCGCCCCGTGCCTCCATGCGTGGCGCTGCGCCCCTGCCCCTCCCTGCACCCCGTGCGCGGCTCAAACGCAGGGCGGGGCGTGCTTGCCTTGAGCACGTCCCCTGTGCCGGCATAGGCGCACACATCCAGGATGACTTGCAGGAAGCGGGACACCTTCTCATCCAGGGTCTTGGCCACCTGCGGCCATCACCAGAGGGCAACCGAGGCAGCGGGAGGGGGTCAGGTCACGTGGGATACGTGAGAGGCAGGGTGGGCAGCATGGGGAGCACCAGGCTAGGACAGGGCAAGATGGGAGGAGGGCAGGGGACGGCCCGGCGCCGGGGACGGGGCTGGCGGGGTGGCGCCGTGTGTCGGGCTCGCTGGCGCGAGGAGGAGGTGCGAGGGGCCGGGCGTACCGCCGTACCGCCTACCTCCAGAGTGGCGTCCACCGCGCCCTGCCTGTGCAGGAACAGCAGGCCCAGGGCCAGGCACATGAGGCGGCCGCCGGTCTGCATCAGGTCCGCCTCGCCTCGCAGCATCAGGGCCTGTGGTACAGGCGGTACGGGATGGGCAGGACGGCGATGCGGCCATTAGGAGCGGGCCTTTGCAGAAAGAAGAGGTGTGCTGTCGCTCCCAAGCACGCTTAGCAGCGGCCCGGCACCAGCCACACCTTCACGCCCAGCCCGCAATGTGCCACCCCGCCCCACCTGCAGTATGGCCTCTACCGCGTCGCCGTTGGCGGTGCCCTGGTACACTAGCGCCAGCGACAGCGCCGCTATGCTGGACACCTGCACACCATGGTGGCGTTGGGTGGGCCGGGGCGGGCGGGAGCAGGGGGCGGAAAGGCGAGGGTCGGCGTGCGGTGCCTCCCGGCTGGGCAGCCGCCGAGTGATTTGCTGACAGCACACAAACACACATAGGCACTCTCTCTCTCTCTCTCTCTCTCTCTCCTCTCACACACACACACATAGGCCCCCACCCGCACCTCCATGCTGATGTCTGTGTCCATGATGAGCGGCAGCAGCAGCTCAGCCACCTCCTCCTTCTCCCTGCGGGCAGCCAGGTGGGGTGCGGTGGTGGCATGTGCGTGGGAGTGAGTGTTTGCCAGGGTGGGTGGGGCAGTGGGGAGGGAGGTGGCATGCGAGCAAGGAGAAAAAAGGGAGCGGCCCGGCAGAGCCCGCCCTCCGCACCTGCCGGCGTACGAAATCCCCAGCCCCAGGACTGCCCCGATGCGCGTCTGTGGGTCGTCCTTGCTCACATAGTCTGCAGGCAGGCAGGCAGGGCGGGGTGGGGCACGGGTGGGGCGACCAGGGCGCGGCGCATGTTGCGTTGCCACGCGACATCGGTGATGGCGGCAAGCGGGAGCGAAGGACACGGAGAGTGCCTTGCGCCTAACCCACGCCCTCCACATTCCTTCCCTGCTGCCCCGGCTCGAGAGCTGCACTGCACCACTGCGCCCAAATCCAGTCCCCAGCCCCCCCTGGAACCCAACGTTGAGCATCCCTCCCCTCCTTCACACCCTCCCCCCTGGCCCCCGCAAAGAGCCTGCACTGCGCCGCCATTGCGTGCACCACACCCGCGCCGCACCCACCGCTCAGCAGCGCCAGCGCGGGGTCCACCTCATCCAGCACCCCGCAGCTGACGATCCCCACCGCCAGCAGCGCCCCCGCCACCACCTGGTTGTCTGTGGAGTAGAGGAAGCGGTCGATCTGCGGAAGGGGCAAGGCCGGAGCAACAAAGGAGGTGGGCGGGGCAGCAAGGGATGGATGGGATGGGCTCGACAAGATTGGTGGAGAGGCGGCAGGTGAGTTGCTGGGGGTGGGGTCGGGAGTGGATTCACAGAGGTTTAGCTGGCAGTGGGTGGCGGGGCGGGTGAAGCCACAGAGGAGGGCAGCGGCCTTGCTTGCGGCGCGGCCCGCCAGCCCCAGCCCACCTGCGGCAGCCCTCCCTCCACGTCCCACAGCAGCACCGTGCCCAGAGAGGCAGTGGCGCTCATCTTGCCGTGGTCCTTGTTCTTGAAGATCCAGTGCACCTGCGGGCGTGACGGGGGTGTGGCGGGGCAGGCAGCGGGCGAAAACATTGGAAACGGCCGCCTCGGCAGCCGTTGAAAACGGCTGCACACACACGCCCGCCCGCCCGCCCGCCCACCTTCTCATCCTCCGACGCCGCCGTGACCAGCTTGTCCTGGCCGAAGCCGGCGTTGACAAAGGCGTTGACAAAGGTGGCAGCCAGGTTGGCGCGCGCAGAGTCGACGGCGGGGCCTGCTTGGGGTGACGGGGCGCAACAGCAGGTGATGGTCTGTGTGTGGCTGGGTGAGTGGTGGCGGCAGCGGTGATGGCTTGGGGTCACGCAGGGATGGCCGTGCAGCAGGCAACGCAGGTAGCACGAGCGTGGGCAGCCGAGCCTGTCGGCGCCCGTGCCTTCAATGCACACCACACCCGCGGGCCCTCTGCCCTGCAGACGGCATCTATCCGCCGGCTCGATGGCTACACACCACCACCCGCACGCCCCACAACGACCACCCACCCACCCACCCACCCACCCGTGGGCGCCCTGCCCTCCACCAGGTGCATCTTGTACACATCCTCCGGCGTCTTAGCCTCCATCACATCCAGGTCCCGCGCCAGGCTCAGGTACTGCTCGCTCAGCTTGGTGTTGCTGCAGGGGCGGGGCGGGGCGGGGGCGAGGGCGGGGAGGACAAAGAGCCGGGCGGTTCACGCTGGGGCGGCGGTGGAAGGGCGCGCGACGCGGCAGGGAGGTGGCGGTGGTGCTGGGTGAATGCATGGGCACTTTATTTGGGGTTATAAGTGAAGTGCTTGTCTCATGCGCCCGTTTTCTTTTAGACCCACCTGATGATCTGCTGCAGCTGCTCCCTGAGCTCCTCATCCTCCACCGCCGCGGGCCCCCCCTCCAGGTCCAGCGCCAGGCCGTGGCGCCCCATGATGTACGCCAGCTGCTTCTTGTACAAGGGTTCTGCAGGGGGCGCGTGTGTGTGCGCATGGGTTAGCATGCATGTGTGAATGTGTGGTGGTGGTGGTGGCATGTGTTGCGGGGAGTAGCGCAGCTCGCCACGGCCAGCCGCGCCGTCCACGCCGCCGGCGCTGCTGCCCCAGCTGCCCCACGCCCAGCTCCCACACCCCCCAGCCCCTGCAGACAACACGCCCCCACCCACCCACCTGCGCACGCCCCAAACGCCCCCTCAGCCATCTCCCGGCTGCCCAGCTTCAACGCCATGCGCAGCGCGTCGCTGTGTTTGCCCACCTGTGCTCGC